TTACCGCCAGCAATGAAAGCTGTGGTCACTGCCCTCGCCATCTCTCATACACACCAATAAATTGTTAGCAGTGCTTTTTTAAAGCCATGCGTTTTTTTTTTTTTTTTTTTTTGCCGCTTATGCTGAGTCAGGAATCTTCCCTTAAAGGAGCCGCGGAAATTTTTGCTTGTCTCACACAAAACAGAATCCAACCGAGAAAAATGCTGCTACCAAGAAACCTTGCTTGTCACTGTTCTTTTGTCTTTAAAACCCTTTTTTAAGTTTCTGTTAAATTTTAAGTGTAAGTTCTTATTAGCCACTTTGGGTGCCATTTGTAAGGTGTACGGTTTTTTCTGCCTGCTGCCGCTGGTCTTGTCCTGCTGCCGCGCCAACCCCAAATAACACACATAGACTCTGTATTTGATATAATGCTGTTGGCCCATTATTTGTTTCTTATAGGCTAGCTCTGTCTTAAGTATTAACCCATTTCTATGTATTTCCACGTGGTCTCCTTACCAGGGAGTGAGGCAGGCGTCTGGTCTCCCTGGTCTCTCCATGCTGACTCCTCCTATCTACTTCCTCTTTCCTCCTTGTCTCCTAGTCCTGCCTATCTTCCTTTCCTATTGGCCAACAGTGCTTTATTCAGTAACCAGTTTGAGAAACATATACAGAATGACATCTCCCATCAGAAGTGGACATCCCTGCTCACGGTTTCTGATTCACTAGTATCTTAGTTACTTTTCTGTTGACATGACAAAATACTACAACCAAGGTAATTTGTAAAAGAAAGCATTTAATGTGGGGATTCACAGTTTCAGATGGCTAGAGTCCATGACCATCATGGCTGGAATCATGGCAGAACTTGGGCAGACAGAACACTGGAGCTCGAGGCAGAGAGAGAATGTTGACTGGGAATAGCATGGGCTTTTGACATTTTAAAGCCCATCCCCAGTGATACACCTCCAACAAAGCCACACCTTCTAATCCTTCCAGAACAGTTACACCAATTGGGGAACAATTACTCAAATATCTAACCATATTGTGTGTGTGATGTGGGGAGGAGATTCCCATCCAAACCACAATTGGTGAGCCATGTCTGCTGCAGCAATCCACAAGGATTTGTTTTACAATAGTGTTTGGGTAAGGCACCATATGTGAAATCCACTGTTAATGTCCTATACCACTCAGAAGCTGCTATGCTGGAAGACTGATGTTGTGGCCTTCTGTACGCTCTGCTAAAGCATAAACTTATAGAAAATACTTCGTGAAGATGGGCACAATCACTGCAGATACTGTACATACTTTGGCTCAATGGCTTTTCTTTGTAGTTGGGTTCTCAACAGGTAGATAGTGGGATAGAGGCTGAAGTTTCCCCACTTGCCATCACTCCCATGGACTTACTTAAGTAATTGTTCCAATCCCTGCAACCTGGAGCTGTCTGGGACTATGGATCTAATTTCCAAAATGGGGGGCTTTCACAAGGGGACACAGTAAAAGTCCTGTTAGAATAAAGGCAATAGGCGCTACTTGGGTCCTTCAGTCAAGAGATAGCAGCAGAGAGAAGTCACCATCCAAGCATCTGACCCTGATTATAGAAGGTTGAGCTATTATTACAGTGGGCAATGGACACTATTTACCTTATTAGTGGCCTGTTTGGGTACTTTTGTTCAATTTTGATGGTAAATTGACAAGGGCAGCAGCTGAATTCTAAAAGGACATGGAAGCCAAAGACTCAGAACCCTTGCACATGAGGTCTAAGCAGGCCACTGAAAGCAGAAGTGTGGCCATCTGCAGCAGGAAGAATGGTGACATCTCCCAGTCTTCCTGTTTAATGGTGTTCTCAGGGATAGAGATTCCCCACCACCTATGGAAAAGCTGTTCATCACACTTACACCAAGAAGGAGCCAGAGGGGGAACAGTGGGACTATGCTGAATGTTATAATGTACTACCCAGAGCTCCTAGGCCTGAAGGACTTCAGTCTTCCTTGGAACTGACTCAGCTATAAACAGTACATTGGCCTAAGATCACACACCCTTTCCTGGAACTCTGCACAAAGTGACCTATGAATTTGGCAATTTAAAGGTCCAGTAGTTTCAGCAAACACTCTGAAATTGGCTGAGGCTTCTTTGATAGAGCATTTGCCTGGCTCCCACTCCTTCCCTCCCACACGCGGTGTCCCAGGAGTGCTCCTAGATAAACCTGCTGTAGACTTTGCTCCATCCCACACTTGGCTTCCTGGGAAACCAAAGCTGTGGGCATATGGTCACACATATGGTTAGAGAGGGAAATACGCTGGTTTGGGAAGATAAATGCTGAAGTTTCTCAGAGTTAAGAGTCATGGCATGAGATTTGCTGCTTATTTTAAAATTGTTCTTGGAAAAAAGTAAGTATAAGTAAATTAAAAATATATTAGTAAATTATATTAGTAAATGTGTCAAAATGTTAATAATTGGTAAATCTAGATGAAGTTATTTTTTTAATCTCAGTTTTTCTGTAGTTTTGAAAATTTTCCACCACATAAAGGCAAATGAAGAAGTCATGGGGTGAAATCCAAGGTATGAGTTCCAAATTAAGGAGGTGTTCAATATTATCAAGTACTTATAAAAATGAGCTAGGTGTGGTAGCACACAACTTTAGTCCCAGCACTTGGGAGGCAAAAGCAGATGGATCTCTGAGTCTGAGGCCAGCTGGTCTACAGAAAAACCCTGTTTTGAAAAACCCAAAAAATTAAAAAAATAAAATTGTTCAAGTAAGGAGTAAAAAGTGTTCTAGAGATTTTGCATGGAAAAAGCTTCCTGATACCTTTGGGTACAGAAATACAGTGGACCTCATGTTGTTGCTTCTCTACAGATTGTTATTTGTCAAAACACAGTATTTTCAGACTTCCTGCGCTTTCAAGACTTCAACAATGGCTGTCCACCATAGAAGGTTCAAGTATCCAGTAGTTGTCGAGTCCATGAGGCTCAATGTCTCAGCTTGTCTTCGGTATAGGCCAGAATTCTAAAGAGGCTCCACTGCCAGTGAAGGAATGAATTTACCCGATAGAGTGACAGCAAACAGGCAAAGAGAGGGCAAGCTGCCTTCTCCCACATATAGGCAGCCAGTAGAAGGTGTGGCCTAGGTTAAAGGTGGACCTTCCACCTGAAAGCTCCAGATTAGAAGTGGGTCTTCCCACTTCAAATAATTTAACTAAAAAAGAAGTCTAGAGAGTGACTGAGTCCACATTGTCCACTGGGGAACCAGCACAGGACTAAACTAGGGCCCCTGAATACAGGTGACAATTGTGTGACTTAGGCAGTATATGAGGCCACTGGCAATGAAACCATGATCTAACTTAATGCATAATCTTTGTGGAGCCCATTCTCTATGGAGAGACACCTTGCTCACCCAGACCGGGAGTGGGGGAGTGTAGGAGGGAGAGTCTTGCTTCTGCCTCAGTGAGATGATGGGGAAGACTTAGTTACTTAGTTGACATCCTAGGAGGCCTTACCCTCTCTGCAGAGCAGATGGGAGGTGGGATGGGGGAAGGAGGGGAGAGCAGGAAGAGAGGAGGGAGGAGGAACTGGGATTGGAATAACGTTAAAAAAAAAAAAATTCAAAAGAAGAAAAAAAATCTTTCACAGGTGTGCCCTGTTATTTGGGTTTTAGATAATTCCTGATGTAGTTGAGTTGACAACTAAGAATAGCCATCATAGCTATCCAGAAACAACTCATTGGAGGAGCCACATAAAAGTTATCGTCCCAATATGCAACGTTAGGTACAGCGGGCACAGCTAAGAAATGAAGTAAATTAGCCATGACAACCTGGCTACTCACAGGTTGAATATAGCCAAATTAGATTTGGGTAAGTTAACTAGTCCTTTGGATTAGTTTGGTTTGCATACTGAAACTTTTATATTGCATCCCCAGTAACTAGGATCCACGAGTAGACAGACACCTGAAGTTCCAGCTACCATGGAGGCTTACGTGAAAGTGATCGATCACTTCAGCCCAAGACAGTCTTGACAACATAACAAAATTGAGACTCAAAGGGGAAAAAAAAAATCAAACTTTTTAAAGCCAACCTATTTTATCAAAACATCTCATTTTCGGGTATTGTGCAAACATCAGGCAAAATTTAGCTAGGGCCGAGAGAAGATTCTGAGGAGGGCAAGGCAACCATTCTCGGACACAATCAATCTCAAGGATTTAAATGAGTGTTCAAACTCTGTAAGATACTGTGTACTCCACATCCTGGATAGACTACTGTGGTTAGTAATGTGCAAACCAGAATTTAGCTATTTTAAAAGAAAGAATAGAAAACAGCACCAAAATAGTATTTATTTTGCTCACTACTTTGGGGGGCGAGCTGGTTCCTCTTAGTGAGCAAGAAGGACTTCTTCCCCTTCATTCTAGCTCTATCACGAAGAGCATTGAATAATACGAAGAACAAATTGAATTTATTAGCTCAGTTTGCCTTTTGGAGACGAAATCTTTCTGTGTGGCTCAGGCCTGATTTATGATTCCTCTGCCTCAGCCTCCTGAGTGAATGCCTTGGGTTTCATTCAAACCTCGCAGTGGCAAGAGACCATTGTTTTTTTTTTTTTTTTTTATTCCAATTCATTTTGGATATTATTTTACGTTCTATCTGTATATTGTTCTACTTTGGCAAAGGAAGAGTGAATCGAATCCGCGTTCTGGAAAGTAGCTTAAACTCCCAGGTCCCTCGTTTCACATTTAAATCTCTACCAACATTAGTAATGTTAATTCTTTAACAGTCCGATGTCACACACTGCCTCCCTGGTTTGCACCTGAATACACCGACGTCCATTCACCTCTTACTTTTCTGTCAGCCGGGAGAAAAAGACCCTGACACCTGTTGTCAGGGAGGCGCATACTCCACCTGCGCCCAGGCGCTCGGCTTCCGGCCGGTTTCCAGGCCCTAGAGTCGATCTCGAGACCATCGCTGCGCTCCCACGGGGGCGGAGCCTGCGCCTCCTCCCTCTCGGCATTCTGCTTGTGCTGCCTCGCCCCGGCGGCAGTCCAGCGGGAGGCGGAGCGAGTCCAAAATGGCGGCTCTCAGGCTGGCGCGCTCCGTGCTGCTGAGGCTTTGAGGTGGTCGCCGGGGGCCGGAGGGGGGACGATTTCCCCGCCGCGGGGCCCCCAGAGAATGAATCGGGGGCTCTGCTGAGGCGAGGCGGCGGGGCTGGAGAGCAGTGGCAGCAAAGGGCTGCGGTGGCGTCCACGCAGCGGGATGTGCGAGAGTTACTCCAGGTCGTTGTTGAGGGTCTCGGTGGCGCAGATCTGCCAGGCGCTGGGCTGGGACTCGGTGCAGCTCAGTGCCTGCCACCTCCTCACCGACGTCCTGCAGCGCTATCTGCAGCAGCTGGGCCGAGGCTGCCATCGGTACTCTGAACTCTGTGAGTACTGGGGCTGGGTTGCGGGAGGGCTGCCCCCAAGCCGGTCACGAGTGACACCTCAGCCCCCCCGGCCCCCTTTGGGCGTCCCCTCCAGGGGTGGCGTTCCGAATCCGGCTTCGAGATGGGCGATCCTCTCAGACTCGAATGGTCCTGGGTTTCCACCGTCCCCTGCGAACTCCAGTCATCCCTTAGGTGCCTCTTCCTCATCCGCTAACTTCCCGCCACCAGCAGGGAAGCAGGGTCCCGGCTTGCAGCTCCACACCCTCTCACCTCTCCTGGTCCTGGAATGGTGCTTCGCTCTCTCTCATTGTCTCGGGTCTGCTGCGGCCAGAACCACCCCAGAATGCTCTCCACCTCGCTCACCTTGGTCTTTTACCTCCCTTGCCCGCAAACTACTACAACTAGTTGTCACAGGCGCTCCGTCTACCGGCCGTTTCTTACAAGGCTGGCCATTCTTGAGCTCTTAACTACATAGACTCGTTGACAGCTCTGCTCAGTCAGGGTCATTGCCTCCCCCCCCCCCTCCAGTATCTATTCGTTTCACAGACAGCATCTCCACTTGCTACTGTTCAAGGCCAGCTTTGTCGATTTCGCTGAATAACTTTGATAAGCATCTCAGTTACGCACGGAGTCCCCTCCTTTATGCCTTTATGTCAGTGTTGATGGAAGTGTGAAGGGAGGGATCATAGGTAATTTGCAAGGTTTCCCTGGTAATCAGGGCTGCAGTATCTATTGACTTTTAAGTGAATGCCCAATAGTATCTTTAGCCAGGGATAGTTAGTAATTTGGAACGTTTCAATAGAAGCTACAGATCATTTTATTGATGTGTTAAATGATATGATTTGGAGGGATGAGGGATTCGAGACAGGTTGCCTCTGAGTAGCCCTGGCTTGCCTGGAATAGCTCTGTATACCTGGTTGGCTTTGAACTTAAAGAGATCCGCCTGTGCCACCACCGCTCGGCCCAACATAAGACTTTCTTTTTTTTTTTTTTTTTTTTTTATTGTATAGTGTTCTTTCTGTATGTATGATGTCTTCAGACTTTAAGAGGGTACCAGATCTCAATATGGATGTCTGTGAGCCACCATGTGGTTGCTGGGAACTGAACTCAGGATCTCTGGAAGAGCAGCCAGTGCTCTTAACCACTGAGCCATCTCTCCAGCCCCCCACTTCAGCCCCCCCCCAAGACTTTTAAGAAAGCAAATTGTAGAACTAAATGTGTTTTGTAGAGCAGTTAGTTCTGCTAATGTGGTTCCAACCTTTAAAAATTAAGACCTATAGATTTATTGTATTTTTAAGACCCCAAATGCCATACTTGTCAAAATAACCAAACCCCAGCATAAATCAGATCCTGTCCATGATATAAATCTCATCCTGGCAATCATCTTTTAAAAAGTATTTTGATTATTTTCCATTTGCTACCACCTGAAAATCTTAGCAGCACACAGTTCCCTTCATGAGCTAGCATTTTTTCTTATCTTCCACCGCCCTAACATAGTAATCTGCAACATGCTGTGGTACTTGTCTTTTCCAACACATTTGAAACTATCCATTCCAATGCACACATTGTTTTACTGAATGTCCTTCTGGTCTACCAGCAGTACATTTTGAGATTCACTTACATTTTGAGATATACTTATCTCTGCTCTGGGGAATTTGTGTTACTGGTTGTCATAATCCTGTGCATTTTTTTCTTATGCTGTTTATCATCTTGCTCTATAATTTGTGTGTGTGTGTGTGTGTGTGTGTGTGTGTGTCTACATACACACAGATATATATCTATATATCTCCTGTCCCATGCAAATGGGTTATATTCGTATTCTGCATAAGTACCTAAGTGATTGAAGCAATCTGATTGTATTTGTATTACCCTAGGCTGTGTCCAGAATAATATAGAAACTCAGGAAACAGTTGTCTCTAGTTAATGACTGGGTAGTCTACAAATAGTAGCTATCTACTGAATGAGTTTCTAAAATGCACTTTTTTTGGAGTGCTTGCTTTTCTAACTAGGGAACTCCAAAGTGGTATTCATTTATTGATATCTTGAAAATATATGGCAGAGTGGTTTTCTATTCCTTTGGCTTCTTTGCCTTCAATCCCCTCCTCCATTGTCCTCGAGTATATTGTTACTATTATGTTTAAGATAGATTATATTTTGTTACCTAGTTCCTGAACTAAAAGAAGATGTTGTGTACCTTTTGGGTTTTCAACATATCCCCTGAATACATAGTTACCTTTCATACCAGGTAGTTCATGGATTTAAGCATTCCAAAGTGGCCAAGGGATCAATGTGCTCTAGTGTAAATCTCTCTCTCTCTCTCTCTCTCTCTCTCTCTCTCCTTCCCACCTCCCTTCTTTCTTTCTTTTTTTTTATTGTATTTTATTTTTGAGACAGGGTCTTTCTACATAGCTCTAGCTGTCCTAGAACTCTGTGTATGCTAAGCTGGCCTCAAACTCACAAAGATCTACCTATTTCTGACTCTGAGTGTTGGTATTAAAGGTGGTGCCATCACACTCCGTGTGAACCTTTCTCTTTGTTTTTTTGAGACAGGGTTTCTCTGTAGCTTTGGAGTCTGTCTTGGAACTTGCTCTATAGACCAGCCTGCCTCTGCCTCCTGAGTGCTGGGACTAAAGGCATGCACCACCATTGCCTGGCTGAGAACCTTTTTCTTAATTATCCATTCCCCCCCAGTCAGTTTTCTTTTCCTTCCTCCCCCAGACTCTCCTTTTATGAGAACATGATTGTCAGGTTAATTATTCCTCATTTGCATTTGGTGACTTGTTAGAAATGCTTATTTAAACAGACAGTTTTAGATTATAGGGTTGTATATTATCCATTTACTTACTGGACAATTGTTTTCTGAGTGTCTATACTATTTTGGCCCTACCTTATGGTAATAGAAATACAACCAGGGTGCTCCAATCAGTTAGAACATTAGCACTTATGAGGAATATGAATATAATCAATTTGTCTTTTGGGAAAAGATATTGTAAGAAAATTGTTCTGCCAATGACCTGTCGAGTAGGTGGAACTTGAAGCCATAGCCCTGCCTTATCTGGCCTTTTAACTTTCAAAGCTCCCCTGAGCCAGGCATCGTGGTTCACTACTGTATTGCCAACACACAGAAGGCTGAGACAGGATGTTCACTGTGAGTTTGGGGCTAACCTGTATTACATAAAGCACTCTGTGTCAGTGAATACTATATCCAGATCTCATCTCAATACACCCCTCATTGAAACACAACAATTTTCTAGCTACCCTAGTCATTAATAGAATATTATAAAAACAAGCATTTCATAAACCTAAAATCACTTTTTAAGAGTATATTATGATTTTTCTGTTTTGCCATTGGTTATACTGTCTCACCATGCCTAATGTATAAATTAAAATTTAACATAGTAAGCTACATACTCAAATACTGTAGTTTATGTAGTTTGGTACTGTTCACAGTTCTGGAATCTACTGGGGTTGGTGTAATTTATCTCCTGAGAATAAAGGAGACTGTTCTTCTGTTTTGTTTTTTGGAACAGGGTTTCTCTGTTATGGAACTCTCTCTCTCTGTAGAATAGGCTGTTTCAAACTCAGAGATCTGCCTGCCTCTGTCTCCAGTGCTGGGATTAAATGCATGCACCACCACACCTGGCAGGCAGGAGTTACAGAAAAAATACAGAGTTGGGGAAAAATATATCTGAACTCGTTGGAAAGAAAAGGGGGGGGGTCAAGGGGAGCATCAGAATATTTGAGACTGAAACTATGAGGCATGTATACAGAATTTAAGGTGGTTCTGTTTTTACACTGATAGTAACAAAGGTGTTAATGAGAAATGCCTGCTTATTATTCAGTAAATTGTGCATCACTGAAAGTGTTTGGGTTTTTTGTTATTGTTGTTAGTTTTTTGAGATAGGGCTTCTCTACATACCCTGGCTGTTCTGGATTTCATTATATATACCAACTTGGCCTCAAACTCACAAATCTGCTTGTCTCTGTCTCTTGAGTGCTGGGACTAAAAGTGTGTGCCACCATAACTGGCAGTCAGCTTTGTATTATTTAAGTAATGTGATTATCTGTTTAAAATCTAATAAATATTTTCCTGTAACTAGGGTTTAAATATATATTTATAATATGTTTTAATATTTTGAAAATAATCATGGACTTTCTTTCCAGTGATATGATTTGCTTTTGATTTTGTTTCAGATGGCCGAACTGACCCCATTCTGGATGATGTTAGTGAAGCCTTCCAACTTATGGGGGTTAATCTGCATGAACTAGAAGACTATATTCATAATATTGAACCTGTCACCTTCCCACATCAAATACCTTCATTTCCTGTTAGCAAGAACAATGTCCTTCAGTTTCCTCAACCTGGAAGTAAAGATGCAGAGGAAAGAAAAGACTACATTCCCGATTACCTGCCACCCATCGTGTCTTCTCAGGAAGGTTTGTGTCCTTTAATCCTTCTGCATTAGTGATGGCTTTGATGGAGTTTTTTTCTTTATAACTTTCTGTACTCTACTAACAGGTCCATTCTAGAAATGCAGTCTCATTGTTTTAAAGTGATTTACAAATGATTCTAAGTCTTTAGCAACCATGCTTGCAGCTGGTGTTGTCAGTCAGAAGTCATGGTGTGATGAAAATTCTTTGTGATGGGGCGTTTATCTCCTTTGTAACTTGTAGATAGGAGAGGACAGAGTGTGACCACACGAATCTTCTTGGTACATGTATCATACAAGAAGAAGATACAGAATTAGAAGACCTTCGAAACCAAAAGGAACCCTTAGGGCTTTTCTCTCCTCCCATTATTAGGTTGTCGAAGAGATGAATGCATCACTGTATACATGGGAATAATGAGTGTATTGTGAGCACTTGCTGATATGAGGCCTAGCTCCATAAATAATTTCTTTTGGGCCATTTAGAACTTTTGATAATAAAGAGGGTGGAGATGCAGTTCAGTTGGTAGTGTGCTGTCTTGCTATATGGGAAGTCTTGAGTTCAACCCCAAGCACTGTATAAAATCAGGCATGATGGCACATGCCTGTAATGCCAGTACTCAGGATGTAGAAGATGGGGGATTGGAAGTTCAAGGTCATCCAAAGCTGCATGGTGAGTTAAAGCCAGCCTGGGCTACATGAGACCCTGTCTCAAAGAAAAGAAGGCAGGCAGGTAGCTGGCTGGAAGGAAGGCTGGTTGGTTTACAGGGTAAACAGATTCACTAAGACAGAAAATGAATGGTATTTGCTAAGGCCAGGGGAAGTAAGGAATGGGGATTGATGTTTAATGAGAACAGAGCCTGAGTTTGGGAAGACAGTACATCATAGAGATTATGGTGGTGATGATTGTATGAGAATGTAAATGTACTCAGTAATATGGTACTGTACCACTAAAAGTGGCTAAAATGGGCTATGAATAGACTCGTACAGTATTTATACTTTGTGAGTGGCCTATTTCACACAGCATAATGTCTTTAAGCCTTGTCTCCAGTGTTCATATGGCAGCATTGTCCTCTTTGTTTTTATTTTTGTTTTTGTTTATTGAGTCATAGTTCTGGCTCCCCTGGAGTTTACTATGTGTACCATGCTGGACTCAAACTCAGATATCCTTCTACCTCTGCCTTCTGGAGTGCTGGGATTAAAGGCAGGTGTCACCATGCCTGATACATTGTCCTATTTTGAAGGCTGGGTGATGTGACATTTGCATTTTCCACACTATTTCACCACCTCTTAATAGAAATTGGTTGTTTTTTACCTGCCACTTCTTGTGAGTAAGGCTGTTATGGCATAAATTCTTGTCTATGTCCATGCCTTCATTTTCCTTGGGTGTGTACCCAGAAGTGGACATGCTATGTTGGAATGAAATTCAGAATACAGAATTTTGTTTGTTTGAGTGCTGGGCATTGGACTCGGGGGGTTAGCACATGCTTCTCTGCTGAGCAGCCCATTATTCTGTAAAGCTTTATTTTATTACATTTTATTTATGTTTGTGTGTCTGTGGTCACAGCATGTGTGTAGAGATAAGAATTGGATCTTCCCTTCAATTATGTGGGTCCTGGGTATATCAAAGCCAAGTCATCAGGCTTAGAGCAACAAGCTGCCTTTCCTGTTGAGCCGTCTCTCTTACCCCAGTGTATATTGAATTTTTGAAGACCCATACCACTATTTTCCAAAGTGGCTGGCATCATTTACCTTTCAACCAGGAATGGCCAAAATCTGCAGTTTCTTACAGTTTTGTATAATCTCTTGTTCCCTCGGCTTTTGAAATATAATGTGCTTGGTTTGTGGGCTAGACTTAAACGTGAAGTAGGGTGTTTTACAATCCATGTTGATTGTTTGAAAACTGGACATACACTGGAGTTGTGAGCTTTCTTGTGGATTGGTGGGCTGCCATCAGATCCTGGCTCTAGTGTGCAGTATATTTTACTGCAAAGTACTGCTGCTGTAATATATATCATTCTGAAAATGAAGCCCTATTCATGTTGGTATTAGCCATGGTAGACAGGGAAGGTACTTACCTGTAAGCTTTCTTCTTTACTTATTTTGGGATGTGATGATGTGAATATGGTTAGAATCGTGGTGCAGGCATGTACATGCCTGTGGAAGCCAGAGGAAGGTGTCAGCTATCCTGTTCTTCAATGTCTGCCGTATTCCCTCACTGAGGTGTGGCTTTACACTGAACCTAAAGTTTGCTGTTTTTTGACTGGTCTAGCTGGCCAGTGATGCTTTTTTTTTTTTTCTTTCTGTAACTCACAGTACTAGGCTTATTGGTGTGCATGGCACACCCAGCTTTTTTTTTTTTGAGGGAGGGTTGAGACAGGGTTTCTCTTTATTGTTTCGGAGCCTGTCCTGGAACTAGCTACATAGACCAGGCTGACCTCGAATTCACAGAGGTCCATCTGCCTCTGTCTTCTGAGTGCTGGGATTAATGGCATGTGCCACCACCTGCCTCTGCCTCCCCAAGTGCAGGGATTAAAGGTGTGTGCCACCAACACCTGGCACTCCCAGCTTTTTACAGTGTGCTGGATGTACAAGTTTAGGTACACATTCCTGCCCAGCAAACATGCTTACCTACTGAGCCAACTGTCTCCCCTTCACTGTAACTTTTTGTTTGTTTTCATTTTTGTTTTTTTGAGAAAGTTTCTCTGTATAACAGCCCTAGCTGTCCTGGAACTAGTTCTGTAGACCAGGCTGGCCTCGAACTCACAGAGGTCCCTCTGCCTTTGTCTCCTGAGTGCTGGGATTAAAGGCAAGTGCCACCACTGCCCAGCTTCATTGTAACTTTTTAAAGTTGTTATCATTCTCTGGTCTGAGCCTGTTAAGAGTCAGACTGCACAGTAGCTCAACACTTTGTGTTCAAGATCTTGTGGAGAAAGAAAAAAGATCTTGTAGAGGAGTACTGACTGGAGCCAGGAGTTAGTGACAGGGCTGAGAGTGGTGTATCAGACAAAGCATACCATCCGTGGGTGTTCATGAATGGAGTGAAGCATCATCGCCCTATCATGCTGCTTAGAAGTCCCTGCTCTCTCTTCTCTCTGTGCCTACTGCTCTTCTGTCAGACTGTGGAATCTAGGGTATACCTCAGCCACTGCCAGCATTCCTTAGTAACTGCTGAGACTTCTGCTCATCACTGCCTTTGGTTCATCTGTGTTTATGACCTTTATTTACTGTTGGGGAAACCTTACTTAGATGCAGTTCTCTTTTTTTTTCTTTTTATTAATTTATCTTATACATTTCAATCCCCCCCCCCACCTTCCATCTGCTCTTTGGAGAAGGTAAGGCCTCCCCTAGGAAGTTTACTAAGTCTGTCCCATTATCTCATTGAGGCAGGACCAAGGCACAACCTCCCCACTGCCCTGTATCTAGGCTGGGCAAGGTATCTTTCCATATAGAATGGGCTCCACTAAGTCAGTTTGTGCATTAGAGTTAGATCTTGGGCCCTCTGCCAGTGGCCTCATTATTGTCCCAGTCACACCATTGTCACCCATATTAAGGGAGTCTAGCTCAGGATCCCCATTTGTCAGACCTGGGTCAGTGATGCAGTTCTCTTTAAATCCTTTATTGTTTAATGATTTTTTTTTTTTTTTTTTGCTTAGTAACTTACTTTTTAAAATATCTGATTTAAACAGAAATTATTTACTTTTAAAATGTAAGTAATGCATTTAAATATCGATATTAATGAAAGATTTGGGGTCTGGACAGTGGCCAGATAATACTGAACTGACTAGAATTCTATTGTCTCCTTTGGCAAGGCTTTGTTAGGTGGTCCCGGAATTTCTTTCTTGTTGATGTCAATAAATGTGGTTGCTTAAACATCCAAGATTTCTTCATGAAGATAATACTAAGAATCCATGAAACGCAAATGCTGGGGAAGAAACATGGAATTAGAGGATGAAACATTAAAAAAAAAGAAAGAAAGAAACTAATATATTAGTAATCAGTAAATCAATGTTTTAAAATGTTCATTTATTTATTTGTTTGTTTGTTTGTTTTGTTTTCCCAAGACAGGCTTTCTCTGTGTAACAGTCCTGACTGTCCTGGAACTCCATTTGTGGACAGGCTGTCCTCAAACTCATAGAGATCAACCTGCTTTTGCCTTTAAAGTGCAAGGATGAAAGGCATGTGCACCATCGCCCAGCTCATCAATGGATTTTTAAATGATGTGGTCATGAGTTTTATGTTAGTGAATAAGATAGAGGCCAAGTTAACAATCAAGATTTACATGTATTGTCATGTGTGTGGCATGTGACTGAGCTAGAATGGGCCACTCTCCCTTCTTCTCTGGAGTTGCTTTGCTTGTTTGTTTTGGGGGGTTGATCTTGCCTATTTTCTTTGAGATAGGTTGGGTTCTCATACTATAGCCCAAGTGAACATGAACTTCACTATGCAGTCCAGGCTGGCCTTAAACTGATGAACCAGCCTTCACTGGTGCCGAGATTGCAGGTATCTTTTCTAGCTTAAAAACTTTAGCCCATATTCATTGTACCTTTTAAAGCTTTCTAAATTGAACTATTTTGCAATTTTCCTATCTACTACTTACTAGACCTCCTACTTAATAGTTAAGTTGCTTAATAATTTGAGAAGGGAGGGTTCTTTTTATGAACTGGACTTATACCAGGCAGTGATGGTGCATGCTTTTAATCCTAGCACTCAGGAGGCAGAGGCAGGCGGATCTCTGAGTTCAAGGCCAGCCTGGTCTACAAGAGCTAGTTCCAGGACAGCCTCCAAAGCCACAGAGAATCCCTGTCTCAAAGAAAACAAAACAAAACAAAACAAAGAAAAAGAAATTTGGGCCCAGAAAATCGCAGGTTTCTTTTCCTTTATTTTTATTTGATGTAATAAAATCCTTATAAAGTTATGATTATCATATTTAACTGCTGCCAAATAAATACAGTTAAAATATCACCTTTATGGTAAGTAATGAAAATACATGAGGAAAAAAAAATTATT